AGGAGCCGAGAGCAACCCGGGGGAGGAGAGGGACCGCGGGCGAGAGACGAGGCAGCAGAGCAGGGAGGAGGGAGACCACGGCAAGCAGCGCGCAGTGGCATGGAGAGGGGAGACGAGGAGACTGCAGGCCGAATGAGATGCGCCCCCAACGCCAGTGCTGCAAGGACGCTGCAGGCCAAGGGAACTGCAGGCCAAACCTGAGTGCTGCAATGCATGGCCATGTTGCGCTTCTGATGCCACTGCTTGCGCTGCCATGTCGGCTGCTTGGTCGTGGTTCGCTCTGCATGTCCTGGGATGGATGTATGATCATGCCTTGAGTAGATGTGCGTGGCGCTCGCCTTGCGTTGCCTTTTGAATTCAAAGCGGGGCAAGCGCAACAAACACGTCCTCGCAAGGCAGGCAAGCGACACGACACGACGCGACGCAGTAGGAATGCAACGCTGGACAGGAGCATTCGTTGCTTTGCGGTGTTGCACTGTGCGCTACTCCGAATTCGCATCGGTGCGTTTCGCTGCGTTTCGCTGTCTCAGCTGAGCAAGGACCGACCGTCCCGGCATTCCTATAGGCCTACCACGACTTGTTCTGAGAACCCAAGCATGTTCCAATAACAAGTACACTATTCTTAGAACATATAAAACCAATGCGTTCAAACAAGGCAGTCACAGCCAGATATGTTCTAAGGACATTTCGTGAAGACCACAAAAGGTTCTTAGAGCATTCTTTGGTAAGCCTATAGGCAAGCCAGGGCGCTTCGCGACTGCTCGACGTAGTGCTGCTCTGAAGCGGCTTAGTTACTCTCAATGCTGTTTTGTGGTTTCCACCCCTCCTGCTGCTTCATGCGGCATGGGTCCTGCTTTTAGGTTGCACTGGGCCTGGCTCGACACTGTGCTACTTTTGACCCGTTGTCACTAATGCATGATTGCGATTCGCTACGCGGGGCTTGGTAGCGTTACTGTTCGCTACTCCCTGCTCAAAGGCGGGTTGAATAGTTCATGGTTGCATGTGCCGTGTTCGCTTATCGTGGGCGCTGAAGCTCGATCATAGAAAAAAGGGTTATGTCTGTATCGATTGGCCTGTCATCGATGTTGCCCTTGCGCTTGCCTTGATATCATTTGCAATAAGCTGCGTTGCTTCCGTGTTGGTAATGTGTTGTTTCGTTTCATGTTTCTTTAGCGCGCTGTATCTGGACTCACAACACTGATGTGGTGTGACGCTTTGTGTGTTTTTCATGTACCTTGTGTGGTATTGCGTGACTAATCCTGCCTTACTTTTCCATACCCTGTCCTGCCGTGCAAAATCGAATGACGTCGTCGTCCCTGTTAGTTCCGCACTTCGTGCTTAGGGTTCGCCAGCATCGCTGTACGTTTCTGCTACGTTGTTGCTGCGTCCTGCTGTTCTAGTTTCGCGTTGGCATCATTCGTCACGGACCATATCACTGGGAGTGTTGTTTGCCTAGCTGGACGACTTCTTAGACACGCGATACCAAAACGTGGGCCGAAGACAGCAACACTAAAGACTTCTCAACGCAATCGTATCGTTGAAATAATTGTGCGTAGCGGGGATGGTGACCAACTAACGGAGAAATTTACCTCAACTCGCGAACGCGCCCAGGAGCCAGCCGGGTCTGGTGGCAAGCTGGTGTAGGGGTCCTAGCGGATTCACATGGTTAGGTTAAGTTTGCCGCCGATTTTCGCTGCACGCCCGGGTGCCCGGAGGTGCCTGGGTGCCCGGGTGCCCGGGTGCCCGGGCGTGCCCGGGGGTGCCCGGGTGCCCGGGGGTGCCCTATAGCCCTATAGCCCTATAGCCCAATAGCCCAATAGCCCTATAGCCCTATAGCCCTACAGCTCTATAGCTCTATAGCTCTATAGCCCTATAACCCTACAGCTCAATAGCCCTATAGCCCTATAGCCGTATAGCCCTATAGCTCTATAGCCCTATAACCCTATACCCTATAGCCCTGTAGCTATATTACCCTATAGCCCAATAGCCCTATATCTCATATAGCCCTACAGCCCAAAAAAGATTATGATTGGGGCGTTTCTCCGGCATCATTTGCCTAGCTGGACGACTTATTAGACACGCGATACCAAAACGTGGGCCGAAGACAGCGAAACTAAAGACTTCTCAACGCAATCGCATCTTTGAAATAATTGTGCGTAGCGGGGATGGCGACCAACTGATGGAGAAATCTACCTCAACACGCGAAGGCGCCCAGGAGCCAGCCGGGTCTGGTGGCACGCTGGTGTAAATCTCAGCAAGCCAGGGCACCCAAGTCAGTCGGGGTTAGTGGCGAACCATCGCGCATCTCAACATGCCAAATGGCGACCCATTGGGAATCCCCGCCTGCTGAGAACACCGGCTATGGCGAAGGCATTTTTTTTGTCTGTGTAGGCGCCGCGCGAGCACGGCGGTTTCATGCAGGCATTCAAGGGCCCCGCCACCGCTCAGCGCCCGATCTCCTCCTCGAAGGCGGCGTAGAGCTCGGCGAGGTCGCGGGCGCGGGCGGCCGCAGCGCCCTGGGGGCCCTCGAGCTGCGGCCCGCCGCTCCCGCCTTCGGCCGCGAGCGGCAGCACTTCGCCATCGCCGTCGATGCCCTGCTGCCGCAGCGTGGGGCCCAGGCGGACGCCGTACACTATCGAGTGGTCGCTCGCCGCCGCGGGCTCGGGCGGGGCCTGGTTGTCCTCGGGGGGGCGCCGCAGCTCGATCCCGATGCCGTGCATCTCGGGCCGCGTCCCCGCCTCCAGACAGCAAGTCCAGATGGTCACCACCTGCGTGGCCTCAGCCGCAGGGGGGCCCTCCGAGGCCTCCGCGCGCCGCGCCGCCAGCCGCCAGCCACATGCGAATCCCTCTCCGAAGGCCCGCGCCTCCAGCTCGGGGTCGCCTGGCTGCCAGCAGCCTGGCGCCAGCCAGTTCGCGCCCAGGACGTCCTCGGGCGCTGCCTGGGACAGCTCTCTCTCGTGCAGCATCCTCTGCACCTGCTGAGCCGCATGCCCCTGCTTCTGCGCGGCCCCCGCCTTGTCCTCGTGCACCTCCTCCGTCGCCGAGGGGTTGAGGAAGGGGGGCTTCCCGAGGCGCTCCTGCTTCTGCGCCTTCCTGAGCTCGTTCGCCGCCGCCCCTGCGATGCGCCCCTTGATGGCGCCCGCCTTGGCGTGCAGCGCGACGTTCCTCCTGAGCCGCGCCAGCCAGGAGGGCTGCTCGCCGTTGACCAGCGCGTCCAGCGCAGGCACCACCGCGGCGAGCCTGTCGGCCAGCTCAGCATCGCCCGCGAAGGCCTCCAGCGTCCTCTCGGCGAGGGCCAGCCGCTCCACGAGCTCCTCCACCCGCGCTCGGGCATGCCGCACGGAGGAAGCGTTGGATAAGGAATCCGAGGCCTGGAAGCCAGTGGAACTGCAATCGTGGGTTGGCCATGGTTATCAACGCCGCTCTCATCAGACAGGGAACCCTCTTGGGTCTGAAGCGTCCTGGGCACATTCCTTAATCAACGGCCCCACCATAGTCGGGGCTAAAGGCAGACTGGCGGGAATCTCAGCACGCATGGGCTTTAAAGCCAGTCGGGCGTATCAGAGCACTTCCAGTTAAAGTACGAGCCGCTCAGAGCCAACACCGTTTGAAAGACACCCGGCCCACATTCCCCACCACAGCCTGATTTGCCCATCCTCGAAGCGACCTCTCCCTGCCCCTAGAAGTCGCCCGCCAGCCTCTCAGCCGTCGTTTTCAAAGAGGGCGGGCCACCCCGGGATCTTCATCATGCTGAACGGCCCCAACATCCACGGGGAACTCCTACAGGCCCCCAGGTCAGGATAGGCCTAGAGGTCACCAAATCAGAGCATCGCCGATTTGGGCATCCAAGACGCCGACCCCGAAACGTGGCCCAGGACACCTCCAAAGGGCTTTCAAGACGGCGCGGAGCCACATAGCAAAGGAGCAACAAGAGAGGAGGCAGAACAGGTCCCCGACACGCGCCAACTGAGCCCTGAAGAACACTGCAAGAGTCCAACCGAAAGGGGGCGACACTGGTCATGCGATGCGCTGGTGCGGGCTCGCGAAGCGTAGAGACACCTACGATCAGAAATCTTACTCTGGGCTGTCTTGCGGCACAGTCTTCGTCGATCTTTGACAGCCCTGAGGTGTCCCAGAGCTTCTGTGGGTCCCTTGGACCATGGCGAGGTAAGACATTGCCATGGGGCACCTGCTGAAAAGCCTATTTCTCATCTGATGTGCCTACTGCACACTTTACAATCCGCATGTGTTCAGATGAATTCCATCCTGTCTGCAATTGGTTTCCTTTGCCACGGTTTAGTGCGGCTTGCTACTCAACGCAAGATCCAATGGAGGTGGGTAATGGCTGATGGTTGGTGGTTGTCGGCGAATTTTGCATGTCAGCAGGGCGCTCGCGATGGGATCGATGACTGTCCAGGTGCACGGCAATGGGGATAGGTGATTGGAGGTTGTAGTTTCGACGGCTTTGGGTTGAAATTGATGATGGCGGCTGCAATCAGTGGCGCTGGTTGACCATAAGGCTTTGACCGTTGAGTAGGGCCTCTATGATCTAAACCCGTTACAAAGATTTGCCTGTGAAGCCTGACCCAGGATTCAGGCGAAGTCCTGGCAAACGCCGGGACAGCCCTCTGACGCCTCGTGCGTGCGCAGAGGGTGAGAAACTTGGCCAGCCTGCTGGAAGACGCCTAAGACACGCTGGGTCAGGCACGCGAGCGAAATTTTGTTTGCAACGATCGACGCAGACGTATGGCCGATTCCGGAAACCCTGAACCTACAAATGATGTCATCTCTTGGGAGGTCTACTTTTGCTTCCGCCGTCTTCCGCTGGCGGAGCCGGCCTCGTTTTACTTCCGCCGCCTTCCGCCGACCTTCCACCGCCTTCCGCCGCGGAAGAGATGGCAAGTCCTTCGATCCTCGAAGGCGAGGCCATTTTTTGAAATCCCACATATGCTCCATATGAAGACCCGAGAGAGGTACAACATTTCTCAGGCCACTGGGTCCGAGGCCCACGAGGCTGCGGCCGCTGCTGTCGTTCCTCCCCTCCTCCTCTGTCGCGCGAAGGCCGCGCTCCACCAGCGTCGAAACCTCTGGGCTCCTTGCCGCCGAAACCTTTGGGCTCCTTGCCGCCGAAGCCTTTGGGCTCTTTGCCGCCGGAGCCCTTGCCCGCATCCTTGCCACCTGCGAGGCTCCGCGACGAAGCGGCGGACAGAACGAAACCAGAGGACCCGCGATACCGCTGCTAACAGGGATAGTGGCGCGGGGGCGTCAGCATGCGTACTGGGAGCGTCCGACCCAGGTGTCGAACGTCACGCATCGATGCTCCCATGGGGGTCGGCACCGACACTCCGAGGGGCCACGCCGAACGAGTATCGCGGGCGCGGGGGCGTCAACATGCGTAATGGGAGCGTCCGACCCAGGTGTCGAACGTCACGCATCGATGCTCCCGTGGGGGTCGGCACCGACACTCCGACGGGCCACACAGAACAAGTACCGCGGGCCATCCGACACGCCTCGCACTTTCGATACGGACGCCTCCGTTCGCCCGATATGATTTCGGCCGATAATCTGGGCGTTAGCATGCATACTGGGAGCGTCCGAACCAGGTGTCGAACGTCACGCATCGAGATGCTCCCGTGAGGGTCGGCACCGACACTCCGAAGGGCCACACCGAACGCGTATCGCGGGCGCGGGGGCGTCAGCATGCGTACTGGCAGGGTCCGACCAAGACGTCGAACGTCAGCGCCAGCCAGGCGTTAACTATTTTACGCAACAAGCTCGCGCTTCATGTGTGGCCAACGTCAGAAGTATCAAACGTCACGCATCGATGATCCCGTGGGGGTCGGCACCGGCACTCAGAGGGGCCACACCGAAGTCGAACGTCCCGCATCGATGCTCTGGTGGGGGTCGGTACGACACACCGAGGGGCCACACCGAAGTCGAGCGTCACGCATCGATGCTCCCGTGCGGGTCGGCACCGACACTCCGAGGGGCCACGCCGACGTCGAGCGTCACGCATCGAAGCTCCCGTGGGGGTCGGCACCGACACACTCCGAGGGGCCACACACCGAAGCAAAGGTGCCGTGGGCCGTGGGGCACGCCGCGCCCCCCCCCCTTTTCGTGGCCGGCCTCCTCCGTTCGCCGGCTTGACGATGAGCCTGCGGCCGTCGACGTCCATCCTCGAAGGGTCCGTGGAGACCTACAGTCATCGGCCTGACCTAAGGAACGATAGATAAGGAACGAAGCCCCTTTTTTCCAAGTAGGTCTACGAGGTCCGAAGGAACGGCCGAGCCCCTCATCGGCAAAATGAACCCGCGCGTCCAACATCTGAAGGAACACCAGGGGGCTCGCCGCCAAAAAGGTAGCGGAACGCATGCAGACCCAAGGAACGACCGAGCCCCTTTTGACAAGTGGGTGTTCCTTATTCAGGCCGCTCGCTGTATACAGTAGGGGCTCGGCCACAAGAAACCTGCCACAGGAAGCCCAACCCTGAGACCCCAGGACGGCCCTTGAGCTTCGGTGTGGGAGCGTCGCGCTTTCCATGGCCAGACCATCGGAACCCAAGAAACCCAGGGCACCCTGGAGGCAAGCAGGGCAGGCAGGGTGATTCTTTGCATGGGCCCCCACTGTGTGTAGCACCCCGCAGTTGCGGATGAGAGCGAGGGGGCGGGCCGCGGGGTGGGTCGCGGGTGGGTCGCGGGCGGGTCGCGGGTGGGTCGCGGGCCGGGTCGCGGGTGGGTCGCGGGCGGGTCGCGGGTGGGTCGCGGGTGGGTCGCGGGTGGGTCGCGGGTGGGTCGTGGGTGGGTCGCGGGTGTGTCGCGGGTGTGTCGCGGGTGGGTCGCGGGCCGGGTCGCGGGCGGGACGACGACAACAAATAAGAAGCAAGCAACAGACAACAAATAGCAAGCAACAAACAACACACAACACATAACAACAACAGCAGCAGCAACAGCAACAGCAACAACAACAACGACAACAACAACAAACACAACAATATAACACCAATAACGTCAACAACACCGCTAACAACATCAGCACCAACTGCAACACCAACAACAATCATGTTGTGACTAGTCGCTCTTTCCTTCTGCCGTGCCATTCAACACGTATATCCCAAACCCAAATCTTCGATCGTACCCCCTCGGAGGTCTATATTTTTCTGACCTGCGATGTGTATCAGTCCCCTGAGGCAGGGGAAGAGAGGACGGGTAGAAGGAAGGGACAAGGGGGAGGGAGGAGGATGTAGCACGAGAAAGGGTAGCAAGAGGGGGGCTAGGAGCAGAAAACACATGGCAGAACCAGACGGGCAGATCGGGCGGATAGACCCTAACGGGAGGGTCGGGAAGACGGGCCCAGGCGACCAGGTCGAGCAGGCGGGTTGCTGAAGCGTGGGTCCTTCATGAATCGCGAGGCAGTCTCGAGCGATAGCGCGATTCCCAAGTAAATCGTGAGGAAAGCCAGAGCGAGAGCGTGATTCCTGAGCGCCGAGGGCGCGGCGTCTGAATAAATTGCGAGGAAGTCCCACGCGAGAGCCCGATTCCTGCATTCATCATGAGGAATACACTGTGAGGAAATATCAGGCGGGAGTCGCTGTTGTTGTAAACCAGGGGCCGGCAAGCTAATTCTGAGAACCAGGACCTTCCCTGATAAAGAGCAGGGTGCGAGCCCCGGGAAGGGCACTTCAATCGAAAATGTACAATGTGGCCCGGAAAGGGGATCAGAATTCAACAGCAACAATAGCAACACCACCACCAACAACAATAAGTTTAACACTGTTCGCTCCTATCTGCTCACATGCCATCCAATACGTCTACCCCAAGGCCTCGGTACCCACCCTCGTCGTCTTCGATCGTACCACCTTGGGGGTATATCTTCCTTACCTGCCACGTACATGTAGCGCAGCCCCTACAACAGGGGAAGGGATGACGGGTGGAAGGGGGAGGGAGAACGATGGAGCATGAGAAAAATTAGCAAGATGGGGGCATGGAGCAGAAAACAAGTAATATAATCAGATGGGCAGATCGGGTGGGCAGACCCATAGCGGGTGGGTCGGGAAGGTGGGCCCAGGCGACCAGGTCGAGCAGGCGGGTTGCTGAAGCGTGGGTCCTTCATGAATCGGGAGGCAGTCTCGGCGATAGCGCGATTCCCAAGTAAATCGTGCGAAAGGCCAGAGCGAGAGCGTGATTCCTGAGCGCCGAGGGCGCATCGTCTGAATAAATTGAGGAAGTCCCACGCGAGAGCGGGATCCCTACATAAAGTGTTGGAAGTCGCGCGCGAGAGCGCGATTCTTCAATGCATTGGAAGAAGTATCAGGCGGGAGCGGTTGTTGTTGTCATACGGGGGGCAACAACCCAATTCTGAGACTCTAAACTTTCCCTTGTTCAAAAACTGCGTGCGAGCCCCGGGAAGGGCACTTCAATTGAAAACACAATGTCCCCCCAGAGCGGGATCAACCATACTTATTCGGTAGAAATGACACCAACAACAACAGCAGCAACATCAACAACGACACCAATTGCGACAACAATCACTTGAACACTGTTCACTCTTACCTGCTGGCATACCATACAACACGTATATTCGAAACCCTCGAGAAAGCGTGATCCACCGCCGCTTTCCTGTGGAAACTTCCCCCCCGTCTTCCTCCGGAGTCCGGGGGTCGCCCAACCCCCCCCTGCGAAAATCCCCCCCCTGCTGGAGCCCACCCCCCCTTCCCCCCGGACCCCCCCCTCCCCCTCCCCTCCGGAAAACCAGGGGGGAGGGTCACTACCGGTTCGACCCCCCCCCCCCCGTCCGAAAACCGGGGGGGGCACTAGCCATTTTTAGGGGGGGGTCACTACTGGTTCGAACCCCTCCCCGCCCCCCCCTCCCCCCTCCAGAAAACCGGGGGGGTGTCACTACCGGTTCAAACCCCCCCGTTCCCTCCAGAAAAACGGGGGGAGTCACTACCGGTTCGACCCCCCCCCTCAGAAAACCAGGGGGATCACTACCGGTTCGAAACCCCTTCCCCCCGCCCTCCCCACCCCAGAAAACCGAGGGGGGGTCACTACCGGTTCGACCCCCCCCCCTCCAGAAAACAAGGGGGGTCAACCAATTCGAATCGAACCCTCCCCCCCCACGCTCACCGCCGGCAAACGACTCCCGGGTCCTTACCACCGTCCGCACCACATCCCCCCCTGCTGTCCCCAACACTACTGTCCTCACCACCACTGTCCCCACTGTTCCCACCACCGTCCCCACTGTCCCCACCAGTGCCCCCACCACTGTCGCACTGTCCCCACTGCTGTCCCCACCGCTGTTCTCACCACGGTCCCACTCTCCCAACCACTGTCCCACTGTCTCCACTGTCCCACTGTTTTACTGTCCCCGCCGCTGTCCCACTGAGCTGGCCCACTGTTCCTACCACTGTCCCCACTGTCCCCACTGTACCTCTGTCCCATTGTCTCACCTCCGTCCTCGCCAGCACGCTCACCACTGTCCCCACCACCACTGTCCCCACCACTGTCCCACTGTCCCCACCACATTCCCACTGTCCCCACAACACTGTCCCCACCACCACCGTCCCCACCACTGTCCCCACTGTACCCACCACTGTACCACTGTCCCCACTTTTCCCACAATTGTCCCCGCTGTCCCCACCAGTGCCCCCACCAGTGTCTCACTGCCCCCACTCTCCCCACCATTGTCCCACCACGGTCCCAGTCTCCCCACTTTCCCCACGGTCCCCACCACTGTCCCCACTGTACCCACCACTGTCCCATTGTCCCCGCCGCTGTCCCACTGTGCTGTCCCACCGTCCCGACTGTCCCCACCACTGTCCCACTGTCCCCACTGTCCCCACCACTCTCCCCCCTGTACTACTATCCCACTACTGTCCTCACCACCGCCTTCACCAGTCCCCACCACAACCGTCCCCACCGCTGTCCCACTGTCCCCACCACTGTCCCGCTGTCCCCTCCCCTCGCCACTGTCCCCACCACCACCGTCCCCACCACCGTCCGCACCACTGCTCCACTGTCCCCGCACCACTGTCCCCACCACCACTGTTCCCACCACTGTCCCAGTATCCCCACCATTGTCCAACTGTCCCGAAGACCGGGAATCGTTTGCCGGCGGCGAGGGGAGGGGGGGGGTTCGAGTGACCCCCCCAGTTTTCGACGGGGGGGGGTTCGAACCGGTAATGAACCCCCCCCTCTTCATGATGGACTGGGGGGGGGTCGAACTGATAGTGACCCCCCCCCCCGTTTTCGAGACGGGGGGGGGGCGGGCTGGGAACCCCCAGTGACCCTTCCCCCCCCCCCCCGGTTTTCCGCCAGCAGCGGTAGGACACGCTCTTTCAAACCCTCGATACCCGCCCTCTTCGTCTTCGATCGTATCCCCTTGGGGTCTATTTACTTATTATATATATATATATATATATATATATATGTGTCTTACCTGCAACGTGTATTCCGTGCAGCCTCGAAGGCAGGGGAAGAGAGGACAGATAGAAGGAGGGGACTGGGGGGAGGGAGGAGGATGGAGCACGAGAAAGAGTAGCAGGAGGGGTGCCAGGAGCAAAACACTTGGTATAACCAGACGGGCAGATCGGGCGGATAGACCCTAACGGGCGGGTCGGGAAGTCGGGCCCAGGCGGCCAGATCGAGCAGGCGGTTTGCTGAAGCGTGGGTCCTTCATGAATCGCGAGGCAGTCTCAAGCGATAGCGCGATTCGCAAACAAATCGCACGGAAATCCGTAGTGAGAGCGTGATTCCTGAGTGCCGAGGGCGCGGCGTTTGAATCAATTGCGAGGAACTCCCACGCGAGAGCGCACCTGAAAAACACTGTATTCCTGGGAGGGGGATCAACAATACTGATGTTTAGATTTGTTTTAGGCCTGGCGGGTTGTGCGAGGAGTGCTTGCGTTGCAAAAAAAACTTATGATTTAGAACTGATTGTTCAACAACAACAACAACACTAACAACACTAACAACTAGACCGACAACACCGATAACACCAACGACAACAACAACATACACAACAGCAGCGACAACAACAAACACAACAACAGCAGCAGCAACAACAACAACAGCAACAACAACACTACCAACAGTCCTATCTGCTCACGTGCCAATCAACACGTATATCCCAAAACTTCGGTACCCGCCCTCGTCGTCTTCGATCGTACCCCCTTGGGGGTATATCTGCCTTACCTGCCACGTGCATGTAGTGCAGCCACTACAACAAGGGAAGAGGGGACGGGTCGAAGGGGGAGGGAGAATAATGGAGCACAAGAGAAATAAGCAGGAGGAGGGCAAGGAACAGAAAACAAGTGGTAGAACCAGACGGGCAGATCGGGTGGGCAGACCCATAGCGGGCAGGTCGAGTTGCTGAAGCGTGGGTCCTGCAGAATCGCGAGGCAGTCTCGAGCGACAGAGCGATTCCCAAGTAAATCGTGAGAAAAGCCGAAGCGAGAGCGTGATTCCTGAGCGCCGAGGGCGCATCGTCTGAATCAATTGCGAGGAAGTCCCACGCGAGAGCGCGATGCGTACATGAATTGTGAGGAAGTCCCGCGCGAGAGCGCGATTTGGGAATACATTGTGGGGAAGTCGCAGGCGGGAGCCGTTGTTGTTGTTCTTGTTGTAAACTGGCGACCAGGGGTCGAATTTGAGCCCCGTGACTTTCCCTGATAACAAAAAGCAGGGTGCGAGCCCCGGGGGAAGCACATCCATTCAACAAACACAATGGTCACTGGAGGAGGGGATCAACAATAATTATTCTTCAGTGGTGAAAATTCAACAATGATTTTCATACTGTTCGCTTTTACTGGCACGCGCGAACACTATCAACCACAACAATAACAATCCGCACCGCGGAAGTCCACTTCAGCCACGCACCCAGGGACAGTGAATGACCGTTCGGCCCCCTTACTCTGATACGTATATACATATATATATGTGTGTGTATGTACATATACATATATATATATACATACACATACATGCATACCTACATACACACATACGTACGTACGTACATACATACAGACATACTTACATACATACGCACGTGTATATATTATCATTCCTTTTTTACAAAAAAAAACTCCAGGATCCCCTCCGTCTCCCAGATGTCCCGACATCTTCAATGGACACCTCTCGTTCCTCTTGCCTCTGTGGCTGCCTCTCCCGCCCGGCTCCTGTGCAGCTGCAGGGCCCGCTGAGCCTCCTCCTCGGTGTCGAAGGTCACAAAGCAGGAGCCCCTAGGAGTGCCATCTGGCTTTAAGTCGGGCGTGTCCCCCTACAGGAGGATTTCGATGAAAATTAAAAAATAATCAAAACATGCTACAAAATTGCCAATAAATACTTCAAAGATAGTCCCCAGACAATTTTTTGACTATTTTTGAATATTCCCCCTGTAGAGGGACAGGCCCGACTTAAATCTGGCTCCAGGAGCAGCTTCAGACGCACAATCTCGCCACATTGCGCAAAGATGGACCTGACGTCCTCGTCGGACATGTCGCCGATGCTGCCCACGAAGACCTGCTTGGGATCGGGCGCGCGCGGCATGCCATCCTTGCCGTCCTTGCCGCCCTTCGCATCCTTGCCGTCTTTCTTGCCCTTGCCCCTGCCCCCGAACTTCCCCTTCCCGCCGCCTCCGAAGAGGCCCATGTCGTCCTTTGAGCAGGGACCGACCGTCCCGGCATTCCCATCGTCATACCACGAAATGTTCTTAGAACCCAAAAATGTTTTTAGAACCAAAACAATGTTCTTAGAACATAAACCCGATGTGTTAAAGCAAGACAGTCCCACCCAGAAATGTTCTGAGAACACTTCGTGGGAGCACAAACAGTTCTGAGAGCACTGTTTGGTGGGGCTCTATGGGCGAGCCGGGACCCTTCGCCACTGCTTGAGTCTTCGGCGCCCGAGTTATCCGGGGTAACTCGGGTCCGGGGTAACTCGGGCTTGGATTCCTGAAAAAGGAACCCGAGTTAGCTCTGACCCGAGTTACCCCTGATGATGTGGGGCTCTGGACGACCGAATTATCCGGGGTAACTCGGGTCCGGGGTAAGTCGGGCTCGGATTCCTGAAAAACGAACCCGAATTAGCCCTGACCCGAGTTACCCCTGATGATTCGGGGCTCTGAGTCCTCGTCGTCGCCCCCCAGCCCCCCGAGGCCCCCGAGGCTGCCCAGCATGTCGTCGAGGTCGTCGCCCCCGAAGCCGCCGAGGCCGCCGCCGCTCCCGCGCCCGCCGCCGCCGCGCCCGCCCCCGAGCCCGCCGCCGCTCCCGAGGCCGCCGCCGCGGCCGCGGCCGCCGCCGCCGGGCCCGGCCCCGCCGCCGGAGCCCAGGAGCCCGTCCAGCAGGTCGGCCTCCTGCAGGCAATGCTTTGACCCGCGGGGCGAGGGCGCACCTCTGAAGGGGCCGTGGGACACACAAATAAATGCACACAGATAAAGATATCCCCCTATTTTCCCCTATGTGCTGGGTTTCTGTCTTCCCCCCCCCACTTCCCCTATTTTCCCACATCTTCCTGGGAATCGACGATTCATTGTGTCTGTGTGTGTTTTTCCCCTCCTGAACCTCTTCCGGTCGAAGCCAGGCGGGCCGCGCGAAGCTTGAACTAACAGAGAGGAGGGGCAGAGGGAGCGCGGCCTCACGGCGAGGCCAGGAGGGGGCAGAGCCTCAGGATCAGGCGGTGCCGATCTCGGCCTCCTGCAGACAAGCGCGTGCCACTGCTCGCGGACTGGCTGCTCGCCGGGGGCCTGGATCTGCCGAGGGCGAGGGGGGATCTGCGATCCAGCACCTCGAGGCAGACGCTCGTTGTTCGGACGACTGCGAGTGGGCACTTGGCGAGTAGCGGAACGCGCTCGGTGATCCTGAGCATCGTTTATCCGATCGCTACTTAGCTGTAAGACGAACTCAACACGGGGACAACATCGGACCAGGACAGATGTCGGGTATCTGAGGTCTGGCAGCTCTGGAGGACGTCTCGGGCGCCGCGGCATTCTCAGAGCGTGCCGGAAAGCGCTGAGAGCGTTCCAGGACACTTTGGAGCGATTCACCAGTGTCCCAACCCCACCCGACTATCCCCGTAGAGATGTGTGCCTGTCTATCCGCGCCTTGGAAGGTGGGTTGTCGGGGCTGAGATGCCATGCGTGGCCCAAAGGGGATGGGGAGAGACCAAAAGGTACTCCAGATTTCGTAATAAAAAAAGGAAGGGGTCTGGACCCTCCAAGACAAGCCATGACAGACCTCCCCCGTGGGAGAACCCTCCAAAACATCGTCCCCAGACCCCCCAGGCCCTCCAAGATAGCCTGGAAGAGACCCCCCCCCGAAATGAGACCCCCCTCCCTTTCTTACGAAATCTGGAGTGCTGATGCCGCCATTCCCGCGATGCGTTCTGACCAGAACTGCGGGGCAGACTCGGTCGCGGCGGCGAGGGCCTCCCGAGGAGGCCGAGAAGGCGAGGGAACGAGGTAGGCGCAGCGGTATCGGGTCGAGTCTTCGGCCGTGACTCGGCTCTCCGGCGGCCGGTCGGGACGATCCTCGGGGGCAAACAAACCTACCTCGTTTTTGACCACCCCCGCTTCCAAGAGATGCAAAGCGAGGCCACACTACGGCCCACACTGGTCAGGCCGCTGGACGAGGAGGCGCGTGGTATGACCTGGTTTCGCCTGGAAGCGAAAGCGGGGTAGGTAATTCACGCTCTGAGATCCAGACACCCCCAAAACGCCCTCGGCGAGGCGCAGCTGCCGGAAAGCACCCCGAGGCTGGAAAACCGCAGAGACCCGACGAAGCGCTCGAGACCCCCAACCTCGAGCCTCCTTTCCTCCCCGAGCGTAGCGGATACGTAGGTTGGACGGTGCTGAACTCGAGGCCTCCCACATGGAGTCCGAGCAGATGGGGTCGGAGGATCGCGCCGCATCGATCCCTCGACCCCCGTCTGCTCGGTCCGTCTGGGAGGCCCAAGGGGACACCGTCAGGGACGTTTGCCCCGCGTGTCGCAGGGGGCGGCCCCCGGCGACACGCTGCGCGCCCTGCGAGCGGAGAGCGCAGCATCGCTCCGCCCCGCGCGGCGGGAGGCTCGAAAGCGCGGGGGACGCTGACGCTCTGGGACTGGGAAACGGATGCAGCCGACCCGTGTCTTAGGTCGGGCGTGTCCCCCTACAGGGGGACTTTCGACCGAAAATTTAAATGGTCAACAAAATACTCCAAAATGATGAAAAAATACTCCCGAAATAGTCCCCTTACTATTTTTGTACTATTTTGAGGGGTATTTTTTTTATTTTTCATAGAAATCCCCCTGTAGGGGGACAGGCCCGACTTAACCCGTGTCATAGGGATACGCGGTAAGGATGCAAGGGCCCTGCAGGCTGAAGCTGACGTTCTTCGAACGAGGCTGGCCAACGAAAGTCGCTGAGGACGGGCCAGATTGGGCCAGGGTGCACGAGTGCCCTTAGGAAGGTTGCCCATCCTTACTGTGCGGGTTGACTGTATGTAGCGTTAGGTCGGGCATGTCCTCCTACAGGCGGATGCTCGACGACAAATGAAAACCATGAATCAACACAGATATTCAAAAACATCGGCAATAAAAGAACAATCAAATCATCCCCATCTGATTTTTTTCAAATTTTTGAACATTCCCCCTGTAGAGTCGGGGGGACGTAAGACCTGGGTACAGGGGACTCGGAAATCCCCGACGAGGTCGTCAAAAAAATGACGAGGCCGAGCCTGCATTTCGACGAGGCCTCCCGGCTGCAGACATCCCACGAAACTCCTCCTCGTCAAAATCCGCGGCGCGGTCGTCAAAAAACGATGGCGAACCCGGGTCCTGGCAAACCCAGGAGGGGGAGGAGGAGGAGGAGGAAGAGGAGGAGGAGGAGGAGGAGGAGGAGGAGGAGGAGGATTCAAGGAGGAGGAGGAAGAGGAGGAGGAGGAGGAGGATTCGAGGAGGAGGAGCTGTAGAGTGACATGCCCGACTTCACGGCAGCGTGACGCGCCGAGGCGCGGTGGGGCCAGAAGACCTCGACCGCCACGGCCGCCCGCCGCTTCGGGGCTCCAGGCGGCCTCTGCCTGGGCCGGGGCCCCTCCCAGGAGGATTCGAGAACTCGAGGATTCGAGGAGGAGGAGGAGGAGGAGGAGGAAGAGGAGGAGCAGGAGGAGGATTCAAGGATTCAAGAAGGAGGAGGGGGAGGAGGAGGAGGAGGAAGAGGAGGAGGAGGAGGAGGAGGAGGAGGAGCAGGAGGAGGATTCGAGGATTCAAGGAGGAGGAGGAAAAGGAGGAGGAGGATGATTCGAGGAGGAGGATGAGGAGGAGGAGGAGGAGCATTCGAGGAGGAGGAGCTGTACAAGAGGGTGGAATCGGACCTTCCGTCGGCGCTCGCGCCACGCAGGCGGCAGCAGCCGGTAGGCGGCGGAGCACCCAGGCGCCCGCTCGGGCTCGCGGGCGCTGGTTGCGCGGCAGGCGGACAGCGAGCTAATGCCGGTGGCCAGCACGAGCCCTCCTCCTCCCTCCTCCTCCTCCTCCTCCTCCTCCTCCTCCCTCCTCCTCCTCCTCCCTCCTCCCTCCTCCCTCCCTCCCTCCCCCCTCCCCCTCCCTCCCTTTCCCTCCCTCCCTCCCTCCCTCCCTCCTCCTCCTCCCTCACTCCTCCCTCCCCTCCTCCTCCTCCTCCCTCCTCCCCTCCTCCTCCTCCTCCTCCTCCTCCTCTCCTCCTCCTCATCCTTCTCCTCCTCCTCCTCCTCCTCCTCCTCCCTCCTCCTCCTCCTCCTCCTCCTCCTCCTCCTCCTCCTCCTCCTCCTCTCCTCCTCCCTCCCCCTCCCTCCCTCCCTCCCTCCTCCCTCCCTCCCTCCCTCCCTCCCTCTCCCTCCCTCCCTCCCTCCCTCCTCCTCCTCCTCCCTCCTCCCTCCTCCTCCTCCTCCTCCCCTCCTCCCCTCCTCCTCCTCCTCCTCCTCCTCCTCCTCATCCTTCTCCTCCTCCTCCTCCTCATCTCCTCCTCCTCCTCCTCCTCCTCCCCGGTGCTGAGCTCTCAGTTCTTGGGGTAGCGCCGCCGGAAGGCCAACTGGGACTCCCGAGTCTCCTCGTCGTCCGCTGGGTCGTCGATCTCCCAGGGTGGAACGTCGGAGTCGCTGTCCTGGTCCTTCTGCTGCTCGACGCTGGTGCTCAGGGCCTCCTCTAGGCCCGCCCCCATGGCGAGCTCCTCCTGCACGGAGAAGCCGCGGTAGGAGGCGCCCGCAACGCGGGGCATCTCCGCTTCCTGCATCGCGAGGGTGGGCTCCCGCACCGTCTGCCGCTCCTCCAAGCTGGCCGTCCGCTCGCTCGCGCGCGCCCCCTGCGCGCCGCCTGGGGGTTGTCTGTGCGGCCCTCCACCGCGCCTGGACCGTCAGCGCGGCGCCGATACTCAAGTCCTTCCCATGGATGTGCAGGTGCCTGCCCTGGTCGCCCTTGTGGTTCTGCTGCGTGCTGCCCTCGCCGTGGGGCCCCAGCAGCCCCTGCTCCTCCGAGGCGTAGGCGCACTTGCCCCCGCCGTTGCTCACCCCCATGCCGTCGACGTTCAGGTGCCTGCCCTGGTCGCTCTAGGAGCGCAGCTGCTTCGTGCTCTCGCCGTCGGCCCCCGGCAGCTCTTGCTCCTCCTCGGCGTAGGCGCGCTTGCCGTCGCCGATGCTCTCCTCCTACCCGCCGACGTAGAGGTGCCTGCCCTGGTCGCCCTTGCTGCTATGCTGCTTCGTGCTCTTGCCGTCCGGCCCCAGCTGCACCACCTGCTCCATGACGCAGGCGCACGCGTCGCCCTTGGATGCGGAGCCGCAGCAGCCGAAGTCCTCGGTCCCGCCGGCGCGCGCGCTGCTGCTGCTGGTGCTGCTCGCCTCGGAGCCCGGCGAGGCGGCCGTGCGCGCCGAGATCTGCGGGGAGAGGCGGCACCACTTCCGCCCTCGTGCTGCCAGAAGGAGCGCCGCGTAGGGAACGAAGGAGCGCCTCTGGTCACGGCGCGCCTCGGCCGAGAGCAGGCTCTCCGATCCGGGCCTGCAGGACAGGCCCGAACGCCAGGGGCCCCTCCGGACCCCAAAGGCGGCCCTTCTGTCGTCTTGCCGTAGACGTTGATGCCATGGATGATGTGCTTCTCGTGTGTCTCGAGGGGCCTGCTGCAGCTCGCCGCCGTCGCCCCGCTCGGGTGTCTCGGCGAGCCCCGCCTTCTTCGCCGCCTCGTGCCGCTCGGCCGTGGCGTCGAGAGATGGGAGAGCAGGGATCTCCTCGAACTCTACGTTCGGGTCGGGGCGAAAGGGGGGATAGCAAAGGGGGGGTTTGAGAATCAGCTCACGTAGCTGATTTTCCCGGCGCCTCCCGGCGCCGGAGGCGGCTATGTATCGAGGAAAGGGCCCCTCGGTGAGGCCGAAACCAGCTGCATGCAGCAAATTTCGTAGACCCCCCCTTTCCCAATCACCCCCCTTTCGTCCGGCCCGATACGTGCACGCTGACTGCCTGGGCAGTCCCAACGCACTGCTGTGAGGGTCCCGCTGGAGGGGGCTCATGGACAGCGCGCTCCCACCGGGCGGGCGCCACTCCGCCTTCAGGGACGACCTGGGGGGTGGCGTCCTTGAGGTCCGCGCGGATGTTGTGCAGCATCGCCTTCAGGTCGTCGAGCCGATCCTCGACGTCGTCCTGCGCGATGGCGTGGGGGTCCTCTGGCACGCTGCCGATGCCTTGCTGCTCCCAGTCGCTCTCGGTGCTGCTGGTGGGCGACCTCCAGGGGCAGCCAGCCTCGGTGATGCCGAACTCCCTGGCGTACTTGTGCGCCTTCTGAGCCGTGAGGTGGCACAGCACATTGAAAGCACACATCGAGTCTCTTCGCTTCATTGGCGCTCATGCCCGTGCTGTGCCCGCTCTTCTGGGCCGCTCGAGCCGCGACCGTGAGGCCTTCGAACGGGCAGCCCAAACAGTTCTCGAAGTGCTCCAGCGCCTCTTCTCAGAGCCAGAAGACCCGCCGCGCACAGCTGGCGAACACCTCCCCCATGGCCCCCAATCCCTGACAGGGTTGCCGCTGAGCCAGCCGCAGGCGGGCCTGCTGCCTTGAGCCAATTCGAAGAGGAGGAGGAGAAGGAGGAGGAGGAGGAGGAGGAGGAGGAGGAGAAGGAGGAGCAGGAGGAGGCGGAGGAGGAGCAGGAGGAGCCCCCGAGGAGGAGCCCCCTCGAGGAGGAGCATCGCTCGGACGACGCCGAGCTCCGTGCCCAGGCCGTCCAGGCCGTCCAGGCCGTCCAGGCCGTCCAGGCCGTCCAGGCCGCCCAGGCCGTCCAGGCCGCCCGCCCCCGCCGCGCGGCCGCCCCCGCTGGCCTGCGCCTGTGCTGCGAGGCCGCCGCGGGCCGCGGGCGCCGCGGCCCGCGCCGCGCCGGGCCCGCCGGCCGTCGGCGCCCCGCCGTCCCAGAAGCCGGCGTCGTAGGGGTCCCCGCCCCTGCCGGGGATGAGACGGGGCCAGGACGAGCAGAACATCGGGTGATCAGGCGCCGCGGCTTTCTCGGAGCGGAACGCTCTGGAACGGAAGTATCCTCGTCCTATAGCCCCGTCGGACGGATGGGGCCCCGGAGGACTCCCGGGCCGCGGCGCGGCCCTGATGGGTTCCCCAGCCGTGGCGCGGGCCCTGGAGGATTCCGCAGCCGTGTCGCGGCCCGAAAGGATTCCCCAGCCGAGGCGCGGCCCGAAAGGATTGCCCAGCCGTGGCGCGGCCCTAAACGCCTCCTCAGCCGTGGCGCGGCCCTGAAGAATTCCCCAGCCGTGGCGCGGCCCTAGAGGATTTCCCAGCCCTGGCGCGGCTCCCTGGGAGCTCGCAGGCGCGACTCGGCAGAATGGACCAGATCGCGATCTAGACCATTGTGACGGGAAGGGGGGCGACAGGACCAGATCTCGATTTAGTCCAAACCAAATCGTGAAACAGTCCAAGTGGTTCTATCTCGAACGGACTAGACCACGATCTACTCCAAAGCAGATCGAGAATCACGCTATTACGTAACTGCGGTCCGGGGTGTTTCCGGTTTGAGCCCCCAGGGCACGAGCCAGTATAGCTACCCCGATGATTCGGGAGGGTTGGACGCCCGAGTTATCCGGGAGGATGAGCGCGGTCTGGGGTAATCTGGCTTTGGCCCCCGAGGTACGAGCCCGTAGCTACCCTTCTCTGCCCCAGCCCGTAGCTACCCTTCTCTGCCCCGATAATTTTGGAGAGGGGAACCCTGGGGATTCCTTATCTGATGAAAGCTTCGTTCCTTATCTAGAACTCCGTATTTGAGCAGCCCGACTGCAAACCTAGACTTTCGGAGCTCCGCGCGGACCTGGATCGGCGCTGGAGCCCCCCGGTCGCCGCCTCAGACGCCGCCCCCGGCGTGCTCCGCGCGCCAGGGACGGGGGCCCAGCGCCGATCCAAGAAACGGTCCGCGCGGAGCTCCCCAAACAATTAGAATTACAGTCGGGCTGCTGCAGCACTAAGCCCCTTCTGTTGCCCCCAAGAGCACCCGTGTGGACGAGGAGCGCCGCCAGAGACACAGCCCTGGAAGGGCCTCTGAAGAACATCGGGCCCCTGCCGAACCCGAGCTGCTCCTTAGTTCAGCGTCCTCCCTGTATGCAGCTCTTTGTCCTTCGACATGTTAAGGTGAAGACGATGCTATGAGAAGATTGGCTCAAGACACGCCCCAAGAGTTCCAGAGTATCTAGTGGCCCTCGCTTCTGCGACCCGAATGTAACATTCGGGAGCCCAGGAAATCCTGGAAATCTTGGAACGTACCATTATCATGAGCTCTTGCTCCTCCGACCTGTGGCCCTCGGGGCCATCGTCGTCGCTGTCTCCCTGGCCCTCGTCCTCGAAGTCAGCGTCGTGGGCGTCGTCCTCGCCGGCCTCTCCGGCGTCGCGCGAGGCCGCCTGCTGCTTAGCCTGCACGGTGTGGTGGTGGTACAGCAGGAGCGGCAGGATCACGGCCATGATGGGCTTGTTGTTGCGTATGCACAGCGCGGCCAGCAAGGCCACCTGTGCGGCCAAGCATACACGCCGGTCGGAGAAGAAGTAGGTAGAAGCATGAGGTAGGAAGGCGGATGTAGTGGATTGGGTCCAGCCCCCCCCCAGGGAACAACAAAACCCAGCAAAAGCGCGTCGATTCTTGACGTGGGAAGGCGCTTGAAGTGGATTGGGATCTGGGGATCCAAAAACACCTACTTTCAGCGACCGGCGTGTCCAGCTGGCCCTCCCCTCCTCCGGCCTCTCCCACGATTGCACCTGTTGCAGTAGAAGAGGCCGGTCCACGAGAAGCCGCCCACAGGAAACCCAACCCTCCCTCCTCCCTCCTCCCTCCTCCCTCCTCTCTCCTCCTCCTCCCTCCTCCCTCCTCCCTCCTCCTCCTCCCTCCTCCTCCTCCTCCTCCTCCTCCCTCCTCCCTCCTCCCTCCTCCCTCCTCCCTCCTCCTCCTCCTCCTCCTCCTCCTCCCCCTCCCTCCTCCCTCCTCCCCTCCTTCCCTCCTCCCTCCTCCCTCCTCCTCCTCCCTCCTCCCTCCTCTCCTCCCTCCCTCCTCCCTCCCTCCGCCCTCGCTCCCCTCCTCCCTCCTCACCTCCTCCGTCCTCCTCCTCCTCCCTCCTCCTCCTCCTTCCTCCTCCTCCTCCTCCTCCTCCTCCTCCTCCCCTCCTCCTCCTCCTCCTCCTCCTCCTCCTCCCTCCTCCTCCTCCTCCTCCTCCTCCTCCTCCTCCTCCTCCTCTCCCTCCCCGCTGACGGGGGGGCCAGTCCACAAGAAACCTTCCCCGAGAAACGCAACCCTGAGACCCCAGGACGTCCATGGATTTTTGGTGTGTGGGGGCGTCGCGCTGTCCACTGCAGAACCATCGAAGCCCAAGAAACCCAGGGTAGCCTGGAGGCAAGCAGGGTGTTTCTTGGCATGGGTCTCCACTGTTCACCTTGCCCTCCCCCACTCCGTCATCCCCTCTTCTGGCTTCACCCGCCCCTCCTCCCATCCCTCTCGAGCCGCGCCTTCACCTTATTCTCCATCGCCCCTCTCCTCATGCTCGCAAGATGCGCGCGTGCGTCTGAGTCCCGAGAGCACCACTGGCCACTTCAACTTCTCAAACAGATCCTGCCAATCGACGCTGCCTTCCATCGCAGACGGCTCACCGCCCCGCGCTGAGGGTGCGCTGCCATCGGCTGGGTTCGGGCCGACTTGGCAGCGTGGAGTGCGCGCTGTGCTCTGCCGATGCGCCGCCGTCGGCGCCACACTGCCACTCTACGGACGCCCCCGTGGGTCTCCGGTACTCGCACCTGATGGCCTTGCAGACTCGGCCCTCCAGTTCCCTGGGGCCGGCAGGGACACCAGACATGGCTCAGTCTGTAAGCGTATAGGAGTCCTTCCTCCTCGAAGGACGTGTGTACAGCAGGCACATACGATAAGACAATGAGGAGGAGGAGGAGGAGGAGGAGGACGAGGAGGACGAGGATGTTGGCAGGAGGAATATATGGAGGCACATTCTTCGTCGACGCTGAACTTCGCAAGGTGCCACGGGGCCCTGCGGGACAATCGGGAGGTCCGAGAAGTGATCGTTGGGCACCTTTGGTGTCCGTTCCATGGGAGCCTGCGTGGCCCCCGGCACTGTCCAATTTGGGACTGATTTGGACCGGATTTGGAACAAATTTGGACCGGATTTGGATCAGACTTGGACTGGATTCGTGGGGGCTACATAGGAGAACGAGGAGAGGGAGGGAGAACAGGAGGGGAGAGGAGGAGCAGGAGGATGCGCCAAATGCGGTCCCCACGCTGTCCACATGCAGGAAAAGCTGATTTCAATGTCGCCGCCCCAAGGCCCCCATGAACAAACATCGAAGGCACCCGCTGGCAGGCCTGTGTCTTATTCGGTGTGCCTACCTTTAGGTCGGGCATGCCTCCCTACAGGCGAAATTTGGAAGAACAAAGAAAATTAGTCAAACCTGATCGATCATAGTCAACATGCATCGATACATCGTCCCCCGACTATGTTCTTCATTAGGTTTGAAGATTCCTCCTGTAGAGGGACACGCCTGACGTAAGCCTGCCTTATGACTTGGCGAACCTTCCTGGCCACGAAAGAAATATTAGCCTGACAACGTATCTGCCGCCGTGCCCCCTGGCATTTCACGGAAAGCCACTGTGTCAACGGTACCTCGCTGGCCTGATGTAATTCTTGAAGGCCCCTCCCCTTCTACTAGCGCCCAGTCCCATGACCCCCCCATACCCAGCGCTTACCAAGCGATTAGTTGCAACGCCTTCGTGATGCCCGCCATCAAGATAGCCAACATGGCCGAGGGTCGCCTCAAAAAAGACCCAGCAGCCGTCGAGAAGACTCCCACAGGAGACCCAGAGACAGGTCCTGCAGAGACAAGCACATATAATGCTGTTGGTGTCTCAATGCGTTTGGCTCATTTTGTTACCCTTCTTCGCCCAAAGAGGCCCCACAATGCTCCCAAGACTCCCCCCACGGTCAGGGACTTTGCTCCCGAGACTCCCCTAAGCGTAGCGTATCGGTTGGACGATGCTGAACTCGAATTCTCCCAAAAGGGATCTGAGTAAACGGGATCGGAAGATCGCGCCGTACTGCCAATGCATCAGCGATGCGGGTCGATCCTTCGACCCCGTCTGCTCGAACTCCATCTGGGAGGCCATGAGGATATGGTCAGGAACTCTTGCTCAGCGTGTCGCGGCGGCAGCCTCGGCGACATGCTGTGTGACCTGCGAGCGGATAGCGTGTCGCTCCGCTCCACAGGGCGGAAGGCTCGGAAATGGCTCAGGATCCTGGTCTACACGTTTGCCCTGAAGGAAGTGGTCCGGACCTCTGGGGCCTCGGATTGAAACAAACACATCGTCGGGTGTCAGGGAGGAGGAGGTGGAGGTGGAGGATGAGGAGGAGTAATTATCAGACCACGTATGGTACTATTCTTGTTGTGCCAAGAGAAAAATTCATACTCACACTGTTAATACTAATGTTGACAATTATGATAACTTTAATCATGCGACTAAAATAATATGACACATGCTACTACTACTACTACTACTACTACTACTACTACTACTACTACTACTTCTACTACGACGACTACTACTACCACTACTACTACTACTACTACTACTACTACTACTACTACTACTACGACTACTACTAATAATCATACTACGAATAATACTAATAATAATACAATTGCTACTGCTACTGCTACTACTACTATTACTACGACGACGGCTACTACTACTACTGCTGCTGCTACTACTACTACTACTACTACTACTACTACTACTACGACTGCTGCTACTACTACTACTACTACTACTACTACGACTACGACACGACTACTACTACTACTACTACTCCTACTACTACTACTACTAGGGCTGACCGGGGGATGGTGGCCGGGCAGATCGTCCGTGAGACGACATAAGGGTGGTGATGGTTTCCAACGGCTTGAACAAAAAAAGGATTGTGGGTGTGGGTGTGGGTGTGGGTGTGGGTGTCGGTGTGAGGTTTCATGTATGATGTATGATGATGTATGATGATGTATGATGACATATGATGATGTATGGTGATGTACGATGATGTACGATGTTGTATGATGATGTACGATGTTGTACGAAAATGTATGACGATGTATGATGGTGTATGATGATGTATGGTGATGTATGATGATTGATGAATGGTGTTTGGTTATGTAATATGTATGGTGATTAATGGTTTGATGAAGTAGGATGTACGATGTTTGACGATGTATGATGGATGTTTGATGTTTGATGATGTAAGCTGTATGTTTGATGATGTTGGATGTTCGATGCTTGCTGTTTGTTGATATTTGATGATGCCTGGTGCTTCATGTTTAATGATGTTTGGTGTTTGATGTGCGAAATTTGATGTTTGATTCTTGATGATGTACGATGTTGGTAGTTCATGTTCGATGTTTGATGATGTACGATGTTTGTTGACGTGTGATGTTTGTTGTTTGATATTTGGTGATGTGGGATGGTTGGTGTTTGGTGATGTATGATGTTGGT